GTATCTTAATGTAAAAAAATCTGCTGCATTATTGCTTACTGTCTTTTACTGGCATTGAGGTGCGGAAGGGGGGGGGGGACAGTTTTGTACATGTACCTAATCCTAGACTTCAGATAGTATTATTATGGACAAAGTCGCCGCAAGCGGTGATGATGTACCTGAATTGCATATCTAAAGCGCCGTGTTAACATAATTCTATAATTGAAATTAGAAATATTGGACATCACAAAAAAAAAAATAATAGTGAAATAATAAAACAGCATACAACTTTGTTGGCTACAACTAACATATCATATATTATAATAGTTTGTTTATTTTTTAATTTATATCAATAGACGGCAATCAGTCTGTTATTTGAATTTAAACGAACAAATTCTATTATTTTGTTTTATATTTTTTATTATTTAACCGTCAATAGTTTTCATTTTTCGAAAATTAATTTAAATTTTAAATGTTTTTATTTTAACTGCCAACGTTTATTTCCAGCTATTAGTTTTTCAAGGATGCATCGTGATACAACTGACTATTCTTACGTTTTTATTTATTTTATACACATCATTCTTGCAATACTATTCAAGAAAGATAAACAAGATTTTAGTTGAATGTACAATGGATTAGTAATGATACGTGAAAAAATATATTTAATTTTTGTTAAACAAATATTAAAATGAAAGTGGTAATATTGTAATAATATACTAAATTATAGGTAAGTTTAGTTTATCAATATTATTTTAGAAATTATATTAATAATATTGTACTTATTTACAACTATTAGCTTTAATATTAAATATTAAGTATTTTAATTTTGGTTACATATGTATACATGTATACATATCATATATTATATATTTTATTTTCAGGTATACAGCGTTAAATTTAGTAGACATAAATATATATCGATATGGGTGGGATTACCCAAGAGTATAACAAAATTTAAATTTATCCGCAAATAAAATATATATTAATACTTTAAATATGCAGTATAAATCTGAAAAATGTAATGTATTTCAGAAACGCCAATAACCCTAGAATTCGAGGCTTATATGGAAAAAAATATATATAGGTACATATTTTATTTGTGGAGAAAATTAAATTTTTTTTTATAAATTTGTATTGTGTATTTATGCCAGATACGGCAATATTCTCGTTTTTTCAGACTACCTACACATAATATTTCACATGTCTTGAATTCAACACTGGCAATAAGGGCAATGGGAAATTGTCGGTCGGAAGAGGGATACTTATATTTTATTAAATCAAGGTTTAATTATAAAATAATTATCGGTAATACGCAATACATAATTTGTACAAGTTATAATCGTAACCGTTCCCCTTATTATAAATGTCTGACAATTCGACCATTCTCCTCAGCGTGGACCTAGGCCTAAAGTTTAAACTTGGGGAAACCACGATAAAAAAAACGCGCCACGTACAATACCTCGTGCAACATTAAGATGTTTGGCATAATATCGATTATCATTTAATGTGCTAAGGTGGTGAGGAAACTTGTGCAATAAATTATTGTAATTTATAATATAATATTAGTATTATATACCATACAAAATGTAAACTTAATTAATGTATTATGTCTATATTTTGATACACTGATTTTTTTATCCTGAATTAGAAAATCGACTGAATATCCAATGTTGTAAAAATTTCAACTTTTAATGCTCATAAAAATTTTATTTTATTTTATTTTCCTGTAGAATTTTTTTTGTTTGATAAAGGAGGCAAGCTGATAAGGAATCTTGTATTAAATTTTTATAACTTAAAAGATAAAAAAAAGAAACATTTTTATGAATTTCTAACTAAATATAACTTGATAATTTTCTTGAATTTGACTAGTTTTGACAAAATGCTAAGCTTAGACGCTCGTAAAAAATAATTGTGGATTTACTTTTACACTCAACATTTTTTTTGATTTAACTTACAAAAATTTATGAGGAACCGTGTATTATATTATTTACAAGTATTTTGACAGACCGAAAAATTTTTTATTGACTTCTGTTAAAAAAAAATACAAATAATACATGTACCTGTTAATCATTTTGACCTCTCGAATGCACCAACTAGATTCACTTTCTTACCAGAAAAGTTGTTGTTAAAGAAAATCGAAGCACTTTTATTGCTCAAACCCGTGATGACGGACACACAAAAAAAAAATAATAAATATAAAAACACACATCATTGTAAAATCAATACATTCATCGCTCCGCTCAGAAAATTGTGGGCAAGTAGGCACCGCTCTGCTGTTATACTGCAAGCGTCAAGTGAGTGACTTTAATGGACGTGATTAAAATTGAATTCAATGATAATATATCATTGCGAAAATGATTTTAAGCGGAGATAGCACCGTATTGATTAGTAAATTATTTATCATATTAGTCAGCCTAGGATATTTTGTATTCCATTTATATTGTCATAAGTAATTTGTCTTACTATAATTATTATGGTAGGTTGATTTAGTTTTTGCCTTGCTCAGAGCATTGAATACATTATAATATTTTATTTTTCGATTCCAGCATGACCTACTAATGAGGAATTGTTGTATTAACGTTTTAATTTTTTGACCTAGCGACATTGTATTAATCAAAATTTTAGAAAAAATATAAAATCCCAAATTTCTATCAATAGTGTAATAATCATCATAATATTTAGAATTTTACATCATGCTGTAAGGTATTTATCTATTTGTATAGATATTTAGTGAAAATATTAATCATCTACGGTTATTTGTTTTGATAAAATAAATACTTATGAGTTATAACTAATCTTAACAACGCGTCTGTAATTCGATATTTATCTTTGGTGATAAATGCTCTGCTTCCGTGGTTTTTTTGGAGTATACAATCAATAATGACGTATGCAGTCGTTAAAACTAAAAGAATGAAATAAATACTTAGATGTTGTTTGGTAGGTACAACATTGAGTTTAAATGTTCAACATGATATTTATGTAAAAAAGAAATATTTCAAAAACGTAAATATTTTTTAAAAAAATGACGAATTAACTTGAAAAAAAAATCAGTGTGTAGTATGCTTTAATTTATGTAAATATTGCTAAACCTGAATTATTAATTTTTACTTATGTAATCATTATGAATACGAGTAGAATTTCTATGAATTTGGATCAGAAGTTTTTGACTACAATAACCAAGAATGGCGTATGGTATCTATTATGTATTTTAGAAGATCTGGTGTTAGTGTTGGACTGCTGGAAAATCTTTTATACGCGGTAAACTAATATTTATCTTATTACTTTGAATGTGTAATACATATTTTGTTACAATAATAATCGTTGTAGTAATAAAAAAATCCCCCGAGGAAGATTCTTGGATTGTTTCTCCAATTTAAAATATTTTGTTTTTAAACTATAAAAAGTATTTAATTTTTCTGATATCGAACAATTAAAAACACTTGCACTGCCAATATCTTCGTCTTTAAATTGTGAAAATTTGGTTGATTGTTTTGGAGTACAACCTGAGTTTTTCTTATCCGTGAAAGACAGTTCTTACAATGTTCATTCAGATATTATGGATCATATATTTTTTGATGTACCATTACCATTTTTTAAATATTTTTTTTTGATTTCATGTATTGAATTATGATGTACCTGCTGGTTTTGTTATGTGATTAGATATATATTTTTTGTTGCAATATATTTGTTGTATTATTTGTTCATAATATTAGATTTATTTATACATTATATATTGTTTGAACATTATTGCGTAGTATGATGTTCAAAATACATATGTTTTATAAGTGTCAAAGTACAACGATGAGTGGTCAAAACATTTTTTGTAAGTCCGTAAATAAACGGCTGCCTTTGGATTCGAAAACAATTATTATGAACGCGAATCTATGCTTTTATTTTGCGAACAAAATTAAGTCGAATCTGGTTGGTAAGTCGTAGGTTAGGCAAGTACCTGCTGTAGGCCGCTATTAATTAAACAATAATAATACAATAATTTCATAATCACAACAATTTTATGGCGAAGTTTCAAAATAGTGTTCGTATTAAAGGCATATTTGCAGATCGTAAATCTCACAATCGAATGCAATTTACTCGCCTTACGGCTTACCGTGTATTTGCCGATGATGTATTATATCCATCTAGATATCACTCGCAGTCTATACACTTTCAAATGTTAGATGGTGTGATTGGTGTGAACATACAGTATACGACGTATACGTGTATATATTAGCTAAGTTACCTATATAACTGTATTTATAGTAATATTGTAAAACTTGGTTTTGAGACTTATATGTTAAGTAGTCCAGTACTTCACATCCGAATAAGTTTTGTCCATTCACGAGTAAGCAATACATTTTATAAACAATAACTATCAATATTATAATTTATAATATTCTCTTTGCTCCGTCAACAAAGTACCATCGATAAATACCTTAATTAAAGTTCTTCTATAGATAATTTGGTATTCTCAGATGTCCCAATATGGTCATTAAGTGATTCTAGAAGAAACTCATATTGATATAGATCATATGGGTGTAGACACTATATTATAATCAAACTTATAATATTATTTTATGTATTATATTTATAAGCATATACCAAAAATGTAATGACTTCTTATAATCGAATGTTTTATATTTGTATAGACACCTCATAAAACCGTTTTGCACAGATTTCTTTGGGTCCTGAGTGAAATGTTGGCAATTTATAGATCTTTTATTGTGAATCGTGATGAGTAACAATTGGATACTATATAAAGCAAACCCTACCGTTATAACAGTGCAGAAAGATTATATTTTGGTACCTTCAGTTTCCAAGTACACCATTCTGTTACTTAGACTACGTAGACATATATGGTATAAATCCCTAGGTATAAAACATGTCACTCTTTTTAGGGTTCCGTATCCAAAGTTTAAAATGGGTCCCTATTCCTAAGACTTCGCTGTCCGTCCGTCCGTCTGTCACCAGGCTGTGTCATGAACCGTGATACTTAGACGGTTCAAATTTCTACAGATCACGTATTTCTATTGCCAGTTGCCACTACAACAAGAAATACTAATAGTAAAATAAAATAAATAATTAAGTGGGCTACCATACAACAAACGTGATTTTTTACTCGTTTTTTGCTGAATATTTATAACGGCAACAAACATGATTTTGTTGCCGTACTTATAGAATATAGATCATGGTACGGAACCCTTCGTGCGCAAGTCCAACTCGCACTAGGCCGGGTTTGATACAAGCACAAAAAACAAAAATAATTTTCAAATTTAATATCTGAGATCATTGTAACATATTGGCATGAATCTCCGTGGCACTATTTGCTAGAGCCAATAATAATTAGCAAATGCTGCAAGTCTCCGGCCCTGCTGAAAAATTACATTGTTCTTATGGTGCTTAGGTACTAGAATAACGGTTTAAGAGGACGCCACACCACCGAAAACAACGTACAAAAACATGCCAATTTTGTTGGAATAATACGGCTTACAGAATTGTTTTAGAGCAAAATACCTTAATTAAAAGTTGTAGAGGGCAGTTATATCGGGTGACGTATAAGACTCGATTTTTGATATTTTAATTTTTTATACCAATTATTCACAAGTAAAAAAGTGAAAAAAAACAGAAAACGCAAAACGATTTTATCGATTTTGAGAATGAAATATCAAAAATCGAGTCTTATACGTCACCCGATATAACTCTACTCTACAACTTTTAATTAAGGTATTTTGCTCTAAAACCATTCTGTAAGCCGTATTATTCCAACAAAATTGGCATGTTTTACGGTAAAAAAAATTGTAATTACGGCCGTCATGTGCTGCTTTCGTTTCTAGCGGCAGAGTTTGTCCCCTCCTAGTTCCGACATCCATGCTCGCGGGCAAGACAAAACCGGTCGGTCTCTTATCGGCGGTCCGCGCTCCGCACGTCGTTGCATTCATTTTATAAATACCTACTATGTTCAGATTATTATTTACGTAAAATGAAACAAAATAAAATTATCCTCGATTTATTGCGCTGCCCGCGACCGTCCTTGCATTACCGTATTGACGTGACAGCCGCGGCTGTGAGTAAAAACTTATTTTTTTTAGTTCCAAAAACACGGCTGACTGACTGGTTTTAAATCAAAATACTTCGTATAAAAGTTGAAGAGGAGAGTTGAATGTGTTAACGTATAGGACTAGATTTCTGATATTTTAATTTATTCTACCAATTATTCACAAGTCAAAAAAGTGAAAACAAAAAACAAAAAATGCAAAACGATTTTATGGATTTTGAAAATATCGAAAATCGAGTCCTCTAATTTAATATAAAACATCCATAACAACCTCTTCAAAAACATATAAACATAATATGTATATAATATACATAATTTATTGTATTAAAAATATAAGAATTTATACAAATTAAAACTTATCTCATAAAATAATTAGTGTATTAGATACCTATACTACAACACAACTATACAAATTAGTAATAATTACTTTAAAAGTAACAAATACAATTGAATTTATAAAAGTGATTTATTTCAATACAATTATACATTCGATTATTTGAATTATATTATTATTAATAAGTAGGTATGTTATAAAATAAAATATATTTATACAATATATAGGTAAGTGTAGAAAAAAGTAAGATAAACAAAATACATACATATTGACTTCCGAAAAAATTATATAAATGTTGTGAATGGTATTTGACAATTATATAATATTAGATATACTATTATATATAATATTATAATATAATAATACATAATATTAGGTATATAAATACGTACTAAGAACTTTCAATAAATTAATTTTTAGAACTTACAGGATTATAACTTAAATTAATGTTTTCTATAGCTGATTTTTTTGCTTTCCTATTTAAATAAAATTTTGCTATAAAATATAGTAAAAATACTATTATTACGACAACTAAATATTTGTTCGTGTATATAAATTCATGCGTTTTATTTACAGTAAGTGAATTTAGTAACATATCTTGTTGGTCTAATTGGATATTTATTTTATTGAACGCTTCTTTATTAAATTTAATATTTTTTATTTCATCGAAGTGAATGGGTTTGGGATAGGGCTGAGTTGAAAAATTGAAAACATTACAGCATGAATCGTTCATAAGAGATAAGTCTACTGGAACTGAGAAATATGTTTGGTTTAATTTTTGTTCAGTTTGTAGTACACCTTTCGAGGTATAAGCAATACACCCAGACTTCAAGTATAACTTTCCAGAACTTTTAACTTTAATTTTTTGCGTGAAAGACTGTTTATTACAAATTATAGTTATTGTAGTGGGTTTATCACATACAAAAAACCAATGATTTTTGAAAAATGAGGGATACCACATTTCTGTTTTGAATTCAGAGATATAAGTATCACATTGAGTTGGTTTAGTTACAGCATTTTTTAGTAATTCTGTTACACATGTGGGGTCCGTGTCACAATTATGTATAATTTCATTAAATCCACAAACAAATATTTTCGCCACTACTTTACAGTTATTTAAATCTGGCCAAATAAAATATATAAACTATACAGTATATATTTAAGGAGTATATTATCTTAATCAATAATTTTTTAGGCGGAAAAATAATAAATACTTTTTTTTTGTATTAGAATTTAGAATTAAGGCTTCAATTACTACTAGTCATTAGGCAGGCGTACTGTGTAGGGGGGAACGGTCAGTTGGAACACGTATGATGTGTGCCAAGGATTTTATTGGTAAAATAGCGTTTCCGCAGATTAAGTTTACGACCATGCCACCCTGCGATAAAATAAATATTTTGTAGTATATTTTCAATATAATAGTAATGGTTTATATCCATAGCTACCAATTTAATAGTAAACAAAAGCATCGATTGATCGAATTCGAAAAAAAAAACATTGACTCTGTCAATTTATAAAGGTCTCTTCATAGTTAAAAATATTTTATAATATTTATTAATTATGAAGTTTTCTACTGGTATCATAATAAGTGCTTCGATAGGAATCGGATGTGTTTCAGTCTGGTACTTGAAACGCTGTTCTCGGCTGGCCACTGAACGCAATGAAAAACCTCCAGCATGCTCCAAACAAGTGGATTCTAGAGTAAACTGATACTATTATTTATTTTTAAATGTATTATACATCATACTTATTGCGTTAATATTTTAAAAAAACCCCTCAGATACAGTTGTATGGTATTGTGGAAACCGGCACATGGGGGAGCAATTACAAACATGCAAGATCTGTAGAGGTAAAATGTTCAAATAGATAAAACTAATTTAAATTATCCATGCCATGGCAATAATAATTACAGTATCCACTGTTCTAAGCATTTGAAAATGCACAATTGACTTGGTTATTACAAGAAGATTATCTTATAGGTCGTTGAAGCTGTTGGTAACAAAAAAGGATTTACATCTGAAATTAAGATATTGAAGTTTTCAAATACAAATAAAGCTTTAGATAATTTCAACCTGGATACACTTGAGCTATTGTGTTCTAAAGCAGCAGAATTTAAAAAGATTGATTTTAGTGTGCGTTGTTTTCATACACCAATCCAACAAATTTCAAAGTTTGGAACTCAAGAATGGAAAGGTCAATTTAATGTGGGTGATTTGCCAATTCCTCTGGACGCATTATACCTGGAAGTCAACGATAAACTTACTTTTAATAAGCTTAGAAATCTCTTTGGAGAGATCATGAATGGTATTACCAACGATTGTGGTAGAACGTTATGTCACGTGAATATACAAATCTAGTATAATATTAAAAATGACAATAGTTATTGAAAATATTTAGTGATTGTATGCAATTTATTTCTAGGTTAGACAAGTTTTGGATGGCATACCTATTATATTTCCAGAACCGTCTAATTTAATGGATATGATGAGAAAGGTTGAAGAACAACCCCCATACGTAATCGTTTCATTAAGAGAATGTGTCCGTATGAATTGGTCAATGAACGAAATTAGAAACTCATTAAAAGATCTACCTTCAGGATTAAAGGTAGGTACATAATTTATTTGTTTTATTGTTTAAGAACACTGTGCGCAATTTAGTGACATCAACATCTTTGAGATATTTAATTTAGATCTCAAATTAGACATAACATTCTGATGTCCATTCAAAATGACATGGATTAAACTTAAATTATGTTGCCATAGCCCATAAGAACATCCATAAGTAGGTCCATTTAAATTGACTATGTGAGGTTATAACTTTACACGCATGGAAATCTGTAGTTATTTTAACAACAAAAAGTGTCAATGTTATACACATTTGAACGTCGTTTTTGAGCTAAGGCTCATTTGTGGTTGTTTTAACATGTATTTATAATTGAAATTAAAATGGTTGGTAATATCTCAGTTTAATATTAGTTGGTGTTAAAATAACACCGAACTAAATTAAATTAACTTTATTCTATTGAAAGTAAAAATATAATATTGTATTCAAAACAACTTTGATGAGATATCAATATAGATTATTGGATTGTTAAATTAACTACTCGTTGCATTTATCTTCACTTAATAATACTTTTTGTTTGAAAAAAAATCAAAATCAGAACCTCAGTATAAAACCTGTAAACATCAAAATATTACAGTCATTGATTTAATATGACTATGATTTATGAATATAGACTTAATTATAGATAGGTGCAAATGATAATTAATAAATACTTTTATTATTATTATAATAATTCATTATTTATTGTATTTTTATGGTAACAAATGTTGGCTTATTTTTAGACATTATAATAAAAAAAATCATACATTTATACAATTAGTATACATTAAACATATAATTAGTAATTAGGTACATCCATTAAATAAAGACTTACAATTAGTAATAACATCTAAACAAATACATATATATTTAATATTAATTTCATTAAAAAACTTTTTTAAGTTGCATATCTTAATGTAGCATATGTCTTAAAATTGCCAATCGTACGAGCTACTGTTGGTGTAGTATCAGATAATTCACTAATATAACAGCCAATTAATTCTGTATAATTAATTATATCAGAATTATCAATTTTAATTTCAAATGAATGAAAATGAGAGTCAAAACCAACTGTGCACACAGGTTTAAATAAAAAAAAAGGAATTTTAGATTTACCAACAAGTATAAAAATTACTTCACCAAATATGCAATTATCTAAATTAGATTCTAAAACCAATAGAACTTTTTTTTTGTAGTAAACTCCCTTATATTCCAACCATGAATACGAAAAACATTTTAATTTGAGTTCATTTGGTAATTTGGTAATCAAATTACTAGGAAATTCTAAAGATGGATGTATTTCTTTACCCAATCCTAGTTTTAAATCTGATTCACCAAGGCTAGCATTAGTAAGAAAACGCATCACTTGGTTAGTGCATTTTGACCATCGTCAGATAAACGGCCTTTATTGGTCACTGAATCTGCTAAGACATATCGCCCATCATTACTTGTATGTAGAAGTTGTAATACTGTCTGCAATAAAAAATTACTTATTTTAATATTAGAAATTTAAATTAGTGAATACAATTTTACCTCATTGGTCCAATTCATCGGCTGATATGTACCATATTTGGAATGATTATTAAAGCTTGTAGAGAGTGCAGAGTTCACTGGTTTTGATTTTGTATAAGGCAAATGACGATTAGTGATATCCTCTGATACAGAACAAGTAGATGTAGATGGTGGACAATTCATTAACTCTAATGAAGTGGACGATGAGTAAACATTGGTATGATCAACTGATGTTAAGATACTAGTGTTTTGAGTGTAATCTGTGATTGGGATAGACGTTGAAATATCTTCCAAATTAGAATTTTCATCAAAATTTTCGGGAAACAAAGACTATATTAATTTAATAATGTACATTAATGTTTATTGTTTTTTACTAAAGAAAAGATAAAAGAATAAAATCTGAAACAACGCTTTCTACAAATTACAATAATATGTAAAAGTACAATAGAATTTTGTAACGATTTTAAGTTTCTAATTTAATAAATAATGACAACTTACCTGAAACACTGAATTAAAATCAGACATTATAAAATAGAATATAATCTAGTTGTTAATTTAACAGTTTTATGATTACTAAATTAGGTTATACTAATGCTTCAAAAAACTTATAATCTTATAACTTACAATCAACGAGGAGACAGTTGAGATGACTTCACTCTCGGCGTGTAATGATGAACTTTATAAAATTAAACACAAAACACCAAAAATATAAATATAAATACGCCAGTCGTCAATCGCCGTTACGAAAATACAGTATAGATATAACATAGACCATTAATCAGGGGTATTTCCAGTAATTATTTCAAATAGTGAATATTGATGCTATACATAGAACAAAATCATAATAAATAGTTATCAATTATCGTGTACGTAGTACGTCCAACCATGAACTATGATTAAAACCAATATCACTGGTGTTAATTTAACACTCCTGAACTTTAAAATAAAGATGTCTATTGTTGACATTAATTCAATTCTCATAGTTAAATACAATATTATATCGTTTTTATATTAAATAAGGTATATTTTGCTTAAGTAACGTCATTATGATGTTCACATAAATGTTTTTGCACTTATATTCAACAAGTTGAATGTCTAAACAACATGTTATATTATACTCAAATTTAATTTTCATTATTTTTTTATTTTAACAGTTAGTTAATACAATTTAAAATTACATTAGAGTTGTTTAAACTATGTTAGTAAGTTTGATACTGTTAAAACGATACCATTACATTGTTCATTCGGACCCACAATTTAATCGACTCAACTTACGTAGTATAAATTAAATTAAAGTAGTATATTTAATTTATATTCATAGAAGGTTATTGTTAATATGACACCTATAAAAGTTTGAATGACTTAAATAAATATTAATATCACTTTTTCTCAATATTTTTTATGAATTAAAATTATTGTTAGGATAAATGTTTTTGGATTAACACTTTTAGAGAGTTCTTTTAAACTCCTTGGACACTGACTTCAACTATCAGCCCGTTGACACTGTAATATTGGTAATTATAACACCAAAATTTCTATGTGTCTACCTATAACATTAACTACGATGCGATGTTTTGACAAGCTCATCAATTAATGAACTATACACAATAATAGATTATTCACCCAATGAGCATCGAGTATTTTTTGGTCGACACATAAAGGTCACATGGTGATTTCAATGTAACAAAAAATTAATTAATATTATATTTTTTCCAAAAATATAAAAAAAAACCCGAACATATAGTTGATACAAACTGTAATAAACGATTAAGTCATAATATGTGATAGACCGAATTTGTCGGTTGTGCTTGTCAATCATTTTCTGTTAGTTCTTCAATTGTACCATTTGTATCGTTGCATGTGCCTTCGCGTTTCATTATATATTTGATGTGAATCTCTGTTTTAAAACAGTGGAACGATGATGTCAATCATATAAAATATGATGATGAAAACTACCTTGGGCTCGTTTACAACATGCTGGCCAATGGCGAAATCGCAGAACTCTTTGCCGATGACGAAATCAACAAAATAATTCAATCAATACAACAAATATCGAAGTTTGGAGATCAAAGACGGAATAGGTCGTATCCATTTAATGTAGATGATTTGACAATTTCTCTGAACACTCACATGATCACAAGGTCAAAAAATCTATTCCAAACGAAATTGAAAATGAAAATGAAAAATGCTGTTCGATCTTTAATATAGAGAGATGAAAAAGTAAATTGAACCAGTAGTTGTAAGAAATAAGAATCAAATTTATTGAAAATACTTCAAATTCTCAAGTTTCAAGTAAACTATAATACTTAGCAATACTAAATGCATG